AAAACGTAGAACATGAACTTTTAGAAAAATTCTTGAACTTGTTTTCACGCAATATTTATTTTAATTGATCATAGGAAACGATTTTCTGAACTAACAAATATAAAGAGAGAGAGAGAGAGAGAATGATAAGTAATTTCCATTTAATTCCACTACCTTATTTGCTTATCCTTGACAGATACGCGTATTTCGTCTAAAATATGCATACTTCTTCAGTGTCTTGTACTAATACTCGATTATTAGTACAAGACACTGAAAAAGTCTGCACGTTGTAGACGAAATACGCGTATCTGTCAAGGATAAGCAAATAAGGTAGTGGAATTAAATGGAAATTACTTATCTTTCTCTCTCTCTTTATACAGGTATTCCACTAAGACGCCCACATTCATTAGGATTCTAAAAAATATGTTTTCTACATGAAAACAATAAAAATTATTTGTGAAAAAAAGGGTTTACTATGTGTACTAATAGTTGATAATCTACGATTTTGGTCAATTTTAAAGTGTCTATTGTATCTATTTCTGAAAAATTAAAAGTTTTGATATTGAAAGCTCATCAGGTTTAAAATCTTAAAGATGTTTTTTTTTTGTGTTATTGAAGTTAAAAACAGTTTCTTTTTCATTATTGATTTTTTTTTTCTGAAAACACAATCCAGTTTCCTACAACTTTTTCTCAGACATCATTTCGATTAGATGACCCGTTTTTGTGCTATGATCTATTGAAAAATATCGGATTCGTTGTTTTGAAAAATTAGGGGTAAGTTCATTGAAAGTACCCTGTACCCTATTAATGGGTAACAGATACTCAATAATGGGTAGAATTTTTACTCAATAATGAGTTAAGCCACTTTTCTTCAAAATGAGTATTTTTTACCCCCATTAGTGAATACTTTCAAGTTAGCGTTTAGTGAACAATGATGCAAAATTTCCTTGGAAGTCGGAGGGAAAAAAATCCACACCCCTAACCATAATTCATCTACGGATGAATTTGGTAAAGGGGATGATCGATCCGATTGGCACCTTTCTCAAAGTTGTCCTTTGCTGGCTTTCTACTTTCTAATATAATTTTTGCAATGCCGTACTGTAAGACTAGAAGGTCCCGAAGAAACGCGCTCAACTTTTTGGCGTAGCTCTGGTACTATCTTCGGTCCCAAGTTAATCGATGCACCCCTCGAAACATAGGAAAATCCACGAACCCTTATTTTATCTGTCAAACTTTCATAGCGAATCAAAACAAACATAGTGTAGTACTAGAAGCTATGTAAATATTTTTTGAAAGTAATTTTCCAAAATGAAAGTTTTGAGAAAAAATATTTTAAATTTGATAAGTGAATGATGAATGCTCACATCGTTTTCTACAATTCACTTTTGATTTTGTTCCTAATTTTGTGTATAAACAAATTTGAAGAAAAGTTCCACCTTTTTCAAAAGGTAGTTAAGATTTCATAAATTCGTCAATTATTTAAAAAAAATGAGGAGAATTAAAAAGAAATACATCAGAAAAATTTCAAGAAAATTCAGAACAGAAAATAACAAGAGATTTCTGAGTATGATTCCAAAAGATTTCTGTGGAGAGTTTTGAGGTGAAGAAGGAATCTTATTCTCAGCATAGTCGTAAAGGAATTTAAAGAAGCATTGAAAATTCTTAGGAGAGTTCAAGGGAATTTCAAAGAGAATTCCAAGGTAATTACGAGAAAAAAAACAATTCCAATAGCATTGTTTTTACTAAGAGAATCCTATTATAATTTTGAATATGTTATGTTGATATTTTTGTCAAAATATTAGTTCTCTTCTTCCGAAAAGTTTATAGTAAACTTGAGTAGAAAACAAAACTTCATATTACAACCCATAATTTAAATGACCGTATGTCAAGGTTTATTGATTTTTACCGATCCTCTCATTGATTTTCTATGGACAAATGACAACTTGGTTAAAGTCCTTCACAAAAATAAAAACAAAAAAAAAATCGATTTTCTTGTTATTCCCAGGTTTGCCGGTTACTTTTTAAATTCCTGATTATTCCCCGGTTTTCAGTACGGTATTCCTTATCGTCTTTCCCAAAATTCCTTAGTATACATGGTCCCAATGAGCAATGTTGTTCAAAAATTGTCATGTGAATTCAATGTAACTAAATATAGTACATGGACAACATTTTATTTGTGAAAATATGAGCTAGACATTAAGATTGAATCGAAGACATAATATCAAGAAGACTGGCAACTTTGCCAGAATCTAAGCGACAGATACAATAGCGCTGCGCTTGAGTGAAGGTGGAAGCAACGCATAGCAAAATGAGTAAATACACAAACCCTTCTTCTGAGGATGTAATCTTTGCTATCAAATTCGTTCGAAGCATTTACCTTTGAGCGGCAGATGACGCGATTGTACCTGATCATAGTGTTCGTATGACAAAATGAAAGAGTTGCCAGTCTTTTTGATTTGTTGTTTTCGATTGAATGCTATCTTAATTTTTAGCTAAGCTAATTTTATCCCAATCTTAATACTCTAAATTTTGATTTTGTTATAGCACGCAAACGGCTCATCTAATTGAAATGACATCCGAGACAAAGTTGTAGGAGACTAGATTGCCTTTTCAGAAAAAAATACACTTTAACAAAAAGTCAAACAATTTGGTCAAAAACATAAATAAAAAGCGGTTTAAAACTTCAATAACAAAGAGGTAAAAGTAGTCCTTACCTTTATTGAAAGAACAGTTTTTGGGGTCTCCCAAATTTTCTAAAAAAAATAGTTTCCTCCCCATACCGAAGGTTTGGGTTTGTTTAAATGGAATTCTTTCTTATTCGCTCCAGGTATTATCACGAGAAGGTCTTATGGAATTACTTTATACTTGGAGTTTTTTTTATGAAAGGTCTTTGGAATGAATACCGAAATTCCTTGAGAACTTTTCATGTATTTTTTGCGGATTAAACTTTGTTATTCTTTATAAAAAATTGTAGAATTTAAAAAGACATTCAAAGCTCATAAACGTACACTACCGATCATAAGTTTAAGGACACCCCAAAAAACCATGCAAATATGTTTTGTTCAATTTTCGATCTCCAAAGGTTATTTGAATGGTATAGCAAAAGGGAAGGTCCATTAATTATGTCACGCAAATTTGGCCCATTTTCAATCCCCCCCCCTCCTTTGTCACATTTTTTATATGGACCTTAATTGTTTTTTGTAATGCTCGTCAAAGTTTCCAAAATCCCCCCACCCCCCTAAAAGTGTGACATAATTAAGGGACGATTCCTAAGTGTTCTACTACTACTTTTAAAATCAGTCACGATTCTTCAGAGTAAATTTTGAAAAATATTGTAACTTTGGGTGAAATTTTAGCACACAAAATTTGAAAATTATATTGAACAATTTGCCTACGAGGAAAGTTCTATTCAATACCTTTCAAATGATCTAAAGAGAACGAAAATTGGACGTAACATGACAGAGATATGAACATAACAAATTTGTCATGTTTTTTTTGGGGGTGTCCTTAAACTTATGATCGGGAGTGTATGATTAGTTTAAAAAGTCAATTTTAGGCTGAATAAACTATTATTAAGCTACTACGGTACTATGCTGCTGTTATATGTTTAATAGTCCCATATTCCATGCAATCTTGCTGAACCGTGGGACAGTTAACCGTATTACGGGAGTATGGTTGTCTAAATTTCCGATCATATGTTCCTGAAAATCCTTCTGCGCCCTTATGGTTGGTTGGTTGTCTTTATTAAAGAGATTTTCAGCCAGATGCAGGTTCATCTTTGGGCGCCCTAAAAATTCATCGGAAAATCTCATCTAACTTATAACATGGACAAAAAATTACCGTCAGCAGAAACCTTTGACACTGACCTTATCTACTACTAAGGGTGTTCAGTACGGTAAGGTAAATAAGAACATCCTTTTTTTTATCGAGAATGTGGTTTTTGCAATATTAAAACGATCTCCTTAAACTTTCAGTTAGAGGAGCGGAGCGACGGGCAAGCGTTTAGAATAAGTTTCTAAAAGAACATTCAATCAAAGGACATACTGCAAATCCTCTCATCCATCTATGAGTAAGGTGAAGGAGTGCGCATTTAATTAGTATTGTCGCATTAATGTCCCTTCGCTCAATTTAAACTTCTGTTCAATTTTCACACTGCTGTACTCTAGCGGAACTACCTATATATCCTCGTCAAAACTTTATCTAGCTAATGAAGTATCACAGTAAAGCTTCATGTTGATATTAGTATAGCATTTCCTTCCAACTCCTTCTAAAAGAAGGTTCTAAAAAAAATGCTTCTAAAATAAGCTTCTAAAGATTCTTAAGAAGCCTGTTTTTGAAGACGCTTGTCCGTTGCTCCGTTCCTCCGACTAAAAAAAAAAGGTCAGAACAGTAAATCTGAGTAGTTACGCAGGAAAAGAGCATTTTTCCAAGGTTTGAGGAGCATTTTATCGCTGTAATATTACGTTTCCATAACTGCCTTTACTTATCCTATAAATTTGACCATCTCTTCCCGCATCATAGCACTCGAATAATATCGTTTGAATCTATGTTCTAAACATAGATATTATTTACAGCAAAATCGTAAATTGCGGTAGCAATACCGAAGACTGTACCTACATTTCTATAAAAAAAAGTTATATGAAATCTATGTAGATTGAAATGCGCTCTCCTAATAAAATTAAATCAATTAATGCAAAGCTCCTTCTAAAATATTCAAAACACTGGATATCACAATTAAACTTTTCGACAAAGTGAGACTTTCATGACTCTCATAGAACTTATATCTTTTTACGGCAACGAAAAATGAAGGAAATTAAAAGCACACTTAAATAACAATTCGAATGAAGATGTAGCAGCAGATCGAATGCTGTTGAAGCGATTTGAAACCCAAAATTTAAACACAAATTCCAAAGGTTAAAATTCAGTCGAACGTGGATCACACAAACAGAACAAAATCGACCCAAACTTGGCGGTGGTGCATGAAGAGTCTGGTGGATGAGAGATCAGAAAACGGACAGTACCTTATCCTTAAAGTTCTTCAGCAGGTCCTTGTATTGTTTCACTTTGCGGCCGGACTTTTCCGCATATCGGAAGCACTCCACCTCAAATTCGTCCGAAAACCCCTGCCCGGTGTTCAGCATATCCAGCCGTTCTTCGATGAACTGAAAGGATTGGATGGAAGAATTTAAATTCGCTTAAATTTAAATATGTTGCAGCACCGAATGTTACCTGCTGGAAGATCTGCAACTGCAGCATATTGGTTAGGAATGCCCTCAGATGCGACGGTCGGGTGTCGATAAATGTTTCCGGATCGAATGTGATCTTGTCGTTGAACTTTACCGCGTCCCGGTAGCCGCCAATTAATTGCACTAAAATACCTGCCGACAGAAAAATAAAGGTTTCAATAAATGTGCAATTTATTTTTGATTCTTGGATACGAACCTAAAAATATCTTCGATACCCGATCGCCCCGATGTTCGGTCGAGTTGGCCAGGTGTTTCTTGAGCGAGGCGACCAGTTCCGGTGGCATGTTTTTCACATCGTCGAACGGCGTTTCCAGCGTTCGCTTATCACAGTTCAGTAGGACGACGTCGCCGATCTCCTCCCGGCGGAGCGATTCGAACACGGCCTCCGGGACGCCTATCAGAAATGGCATCGGTGCGCCGAGGATGTCCTTCATCTTCATCGGCAGGACCGGGATGAAGATGTGCTGCCACACCATCGGATAGAGGAATGCATTCGCCGCCTGGATGCAGGACGAGAGGACATCCAGACGGCGCGACATGAAGATGATTCTCCGCTCTGCCAGCATCGCGGCGAACACCCCGATCATGAACTTTGGCTCCACAAAGTTGTAGTACAGGTTTAGGTTGTGCTGAAACGGTGCAATCGAGAGACGATTAGTAAATCAATTTCCAAAAAAAAAATATGAACGGTTGCTCTTACATTTTCCGGTATACTGGGTAGAAGGAACTGCTGGGGCCTCTGGAAGACGAATGTCTGTACGGGTCGGTCATACTGCAGCTTCAGGCATCCGCCCGGTTCCGGGACGCCCTTGTTGTACGCTTCCGTCAGGAATGACTCGAATTCACTCTGGGAGTTTTTCCGCACATCGGCCAACACATTCAGGAAGCGGATGAAGGTATCGTGCCACGGCAGGTACGTGACGATGACCATCGCGGTCGGTGATTTCGGATCATGCCTGCAGAATCCGAACCGCCACTTGGAATCGATATTGGTTAGTACGAACGAGTGCACCTGGATTGTCCGCCTGAAGTCGGAATAAGAAGAAGAAAAGGAAGCATGATAGAACGTAGCCCTATGAATCATTTTCATTTGTACATATGTATTTCTTCGTGGGAACGAACGGAACGTGTTTCAATGTCGAGATAACACGAAACGGAGAGCCAGTTCGGAGACATTCAGTTATGACTAAGCACCGCGCTGGTCAGTGACATGCCTAAATACATACGCAATCGAATCATTTAAATTGTGCGACAGTGGTTGGACGGTAGCTCCGGCGCGTTCATTGTTGGTTTATTGATTTAGGCTGTGAACCATTTGCCGAGTTAAATTTAACTCGTGGTTAAAAGTGACATTTCGAAAGTTATTTCTTATGTTCGAAAATCCCCGTGCTGTCGATCGACCGGTTTTCGAGCCACGGTCGTCAAAATTTAACTTCTTGTCTGTCAGAAGTATCCACGCTCGGATAGCAGGGTTAATCGATAACTTTTCATCTGTCAAATTTTAACCAAAAGTTAAAATAATCCACCAAATGGTTCAGAGCCTTAGTAGCTATCGATTAGGTGTCGAATTGGTATCCTCAAATTGAGAGCACCGTCTTTGAGAGTTGAATTTAATGTAGTTGCCTTTCGCACATTAATCTAATTTCAGCCCAAAATAATGATGGTGTCGTTTCTATGAATGGAGTGTCATGCGACTGCATAATACTACATTTCGTTTCGTCATATTCCCGTTTTGACACATGATTTTTGCTTTCTTTTCTATCTAGAAAATCCATCGAACGCTTCATTCCATTTGTTAATTTACTAGACAATTAATTTGGTATACGCCAGGAATTCCGTTAGTTGCGGAGAATCTCGATAGTTTCTGGAGAATTCCAAAACGAATTATGGAAAATCCTGATGTATTATGGAAACTCAGAAACGATACCAAAAATCTAAAAAAAAATCCGAATAATCCCAAGGCGGACTCTAGAAAAATCTCAGTAGGGATTTCGGCGAATCTCCAGAGGAATGCTAAACAATCCCTAGAAGAATTTCATTCTGATAGAGATTTCGGAGTATCTCAATCGGGATTCCCTTGTGGGGTTTTTGAAATCCTTATGGGACCCTTCAGAATACCTTCTGGGAATCTCTGGAATCTCTCCCAAACTCATCGCATTTGGAATTCAACGAAAATCATTTTGGTATTTTCCGGAATCTCTGGGGACTACATTGGCTGTGAAAAACAAACAAATACAAACTCCGATTGTAGTTGAAGAACCCGGGAAGTGAATTAAGATAATGAAAAATTATTATTATTATTTATCTTTATTAGGGAGGCTTTCAGCCTTGGGCTGGTTCGCCTCCAAGATAATGAAAAATATAAATAGCCGGTAAAACAAAAAAATGTTTTAAGGATTCAATCAAATTCCCAGTTATTTCCCGGTTGTTTTCGATACCAGGTTTCCCCGGTTCAGTGGCCACCCTGCGAATCTGAATTAATTCCAAACGAAAAGAAGAGATGAAAATAAATTCATTAGATGCTACTCGCGATAAAATAACCGGGTTCAAAATCCACATCCAGATAAGCCAAGAATTACTTTAATGGGGCAAAAGTGATTCCAAATCAAAATCCCGGGATGCTCGGAATTCTGGGATATAAAAGAAAGTAGGTACTTAAAGAACACTAAGTTTTGCAGGCAGGTAAAAGTTCCGTAATAGTAGAAGCAACAATCAATACGAAACTGACTCACTACTTGACTAGGTTATTGGTCCCAAGCAAATCGATTAACGTATCCCATTCTAGTATAAATTCCAGTACTACACTATGTTTGTTTTGATTCGCTATGAAAGTTTGACAGATAAAATGAGGGGTTCGGTCCCAAGCTAATCGATGCACCCCTCGAAACATAGGAAAATCCTTCCTATGTTTCGAGGGGTGCATCGATTAGCTTGGGACCGAAGATAGTGGTTTGCCATTGCAGACTTTGGTTCGCGAAAAAATGGCCTTACAAGGTTTGTTTACAAAATGGAGTTAAGGCCATTTCAATTGTTGGCCTTGAAATATTGAATTTACAACTCAAATACCCACAAAAAATTAGGAATACACTGAACATTTTGGATACAGCCTTAGTAGTGGTGCTTGATCACTTGACACTGAGGAAGTCTAGTCTGGACGAAATACTTGTATCTGTCAAAAGGAAGGCAATTTTAAAGGAATTAAGATGAAATTACTCAACCCATCCCAAAAGCAAACTCTGAGAATTCTGATTAATTTTTCAAGGCCTTCCTAATAAAAAAAATACCATACGTCCATACCCAAATGATAACCCATATTATAGAACCATTCCACAAATGGTTTGGATGATACCCTGAACACGTATTAGGGCTGTGAGGAATGTGAAATTTTTTAAAGTAGAAATACGAAAATTTTAATGATAATTCAGAATCATGAAAACATACATATCAGTAGTTGCTACTCCATGATTGACCAGATTTAGTGAAATTTGCACAAACAACCATATGAATGGGGTTTGGGACTAGCAATCCATTCTCAGTGTACAAAATGTGGATAATCCTTATTTTTGAGGTCAATAACGGCGCCGGTCACGTCATCGGGGAGGGAAAGGATTGATATTTCAACAACCGTTGTTACTAGATACCGAGTATACCTCTGCATATCCACCGTTGTCACGGGAAGGACGTTTTTGTTAGTGGGAAGGGTAAGTTCGATCTGGATTCACATTGGGAAGTGATGCAATCTTTTAAAGCCTGTTAAACAAATGATGCGACCCTACCTACTCAGTAATGTAAAGGAGCTTGGGTTCTAACCCACGATCTTCTGCTCAGTAAGCAAAAACGGTCGCTCTAAGGTCACCGTGCCCCTTTACATCATAACAAGCTACGACCCACGATCTTCATTATCGTTTACAAGAAGCTATTACACTGAAATGAAATCCTCTAAAGTAGCTAACAATTTCTTCCGAACCGGATCAGGCGCACGTCACATTGGTCTAAATATATTTATTATTTTTCTGAATCGTTCCTACAATCTATGTTATTAAAAATTTTCTACAATAGTGACCTGGATGATAGATCAACTCAGTAATTTAGTGAGGCTTGGGTTTTAACCCTCACTCATTAAGCAAAGACGGTTGCTCTCTAGCCACCGTGCCCCTTACATTACCACAATCTACGACCGACTTAACAAAAAGCTATTCAAATGAAGCGAAGTCTCTGAAAGAAGCCAACAATGTCTTCTAAACTAGATCACGCCCAGGCATGGAAAATCATTTGCATTCATTTCGTGCATTCATTTACATTCAACAGAATTCAACATTTACAACAGAATTCCGCAAAATAATGTATGGAGCTTTTGTAGGCTTTATTATTAGCTACAACATTTGTAAAAAAAACTAATATCCGTATCTATTATGCATGTTGAACCAGAGTGAACAGAAGCCACTACTGTTTTTCAATGAATGTATTTTACATTCATTTAAAAACAGTAACAAATTCAGCCCGCTCTAATTCGTGATTCATAAGAGATACATATTTGAGTTATGGGCAAAAGTTGTAGCTAATAACAAAACCTACTGAAGCTCTATACATCATTTTGCGGAATGCTGTTGATGAAAAAAGTTAGAGGCAAATGAATGTAAATGAATGCATGAAATGAATGTAAATGATTTTCCATGCCTGCATACACCCTTTTCGAAACTCATGGTTTAAACAATTCAATGATTGGCTATTAACTGCGCTTTATGCTCTCGGAACCCAATGATGGCGGTTTATTATGTTGTGGGAGAGTTTGGGATTAAACCTATGATATTCTGCTCATTAAGCAAAACCGATCCCTCTAGGGTTATCGAGCATCTCAAAACCACAACACTCCACGGCAAAATATGATTAAGTTTTCACTTTGTATGTAATGACATGAAAAGCTCCAGATCTTGAATATATCACAAAGTCTGGGATTTTTAGTTGTTTTCTTAGAACGGGACTGAATTTGGAAATGTTGGCCTTAGATCATAACATTTGTTCTAAGCCTTAGATTAAACAGTGTGTAAGCAGAATTTATAGGAAGTTCCAGAGCATCGACCACTTCGAAAATTCCAGAAACATCCAGAACCTAAGGAGTCTTCGATGTTTTTTTACCTTGATTTGTTTTTCGTTGATCTTGTTTTCCGTGCTGAGCACCAATGCTACCGACGCCAGGGAGGCAGCTCCCACACCTGACCCTACCTATCGACCCATCAACTCATGAACCGGGGACCAACGGCTTTACTTCCCTTCCGAAGGAAGGCGTGATCAGAGATGTTATGCCTCAGAACATCCCGGCGGCGGCGACTGGGATTGAACCCAGGCCTGCTGGGGTGAGAAATAATCACGCTTACAACTACACCACCGGCGCCGTTGTCTTCGATGTTAACAAAACTTTAAATTCAGAGATCAGGGTACTTCTGGAACAATCTGGAGGATTTCGGAAAAAGGGTGTGGTAGACAGGGTGGAGTATGAAACACTAATTATTATTTTAAACTGAACTGTGTCTGCCACAGTGGGGTTTCCGGAGCCCAAGTCTCAAGAATCACAAATATAAATAAGTTCCTGGGGTTTCTGAAGTTCCAGTAGCCCCGAAATTTCTAACTTTAATTGTTTCTTTTAACTCCCTGAAAATTTGGTCATAATCAGATAAAAACTCGAATTTTGATAATGAATTTTGTGTGTGCGAATTTTAAGCGGTACACCCTTTAATCATACTACAACATATTTTGCAACTGATAATGGAGAATGGGATAAAACTGGATGAATTCTAAAAAAAAACTGGGCATCACTGCTCTGTACGATAAATAGAAAATCGTGATAATTTTTCCTACAAATTATCATAAACAATTCACGTTATTTCCTAAAACTGAAATTCTGCTATTTTTGTGATAGTACTTCAGTTCCTTCGCGATTTTTGCGACATCATTTAATGTATCCGCGATTTTCAAGACTGAAAGTTCAGATCCGCTACAAATCCACAAAAATCTCGAAATCCGCGCC